CCCCAAAACCCCAAAACCCCAAAACCCCATAAGGAAATTTAAAATTTGAAAAAATTCGAGAAAAATTGTACATTTTTGATCAATAAATTAATTATTAGGCATGATGGTAGAAAGAAAATTAAAAGCTAGATTTTTTGATGAAAGCAACTTTATTTAACTATTCTTAAGAGGATATGAAACTTAAACCATCTTTTTCGGGAAAGAATATGAGTTCGAAGAAACAGAGACTACAGTTTTAGATGTCAAAACTGAGATTCATGAGAGACTTCGAATACCCTTAGATAAATTTTTGTTGCTTTATCAGAATTAAGTGCTTGATGGGGAAAATGAAAATAAAACTCTCAGATAATGTGGAATAAGTGATAATAGTACAATTTATATGTGCTTAAAATTGTTGGGTGGGGCTAGACTTAGTTTTTACATCATTCTACTCAATGGTAAGTAAAGAATATGATAAAAAATATTAAAAACTGTTCTAAAAATGGTTACAAATAATTACTATCTATAGATGAAATAAAGCAAGTTTACATAGATTCAAAACTTAAGGTAGCTGAACTTAAAACTAAAATAGCTTAATCTAAAAAGGTCCCAGAATTGAGAAGAGCTAAACTAACAATTGAAGATATAGAATTAGATGATAATTTGACATTTGAGCAACTAGGCATATAAGATGACAGCGTGATAGCTTATGAAGAAGTAACTTTATTCGATGTTGATGGAGTTTCTGTATCATTCGCACCAGATATGATAAGCTATGATGATAGTCAGGAAGCCCGAGCGGAAATGCCATGTGGGCATTTCATTTCAAAGGATTCTATGGCTTCATACTTGATTAGCGAAGCAATGGATTCTAAACTATCAATACATTGCCCAGGTGTAGATATGCAAAACAAAAAGTGTGGAGCAGAATGGGATATTAATCTTTGCAAAAAAATAGCAATGCTCACTCGAGAAGAAAACGACAAGCTTGAAGCTACTATGGCTAAAACCTTATTCTATTAATAAATAGATGGAAGGGAGTGTCCGTTTTGCAAAACATTCTATATAAGGTAAAAAGGTAGCAAGAACATCAGAATGAACTGCCCTGTTTGCAAAAGTAAAGGTAAGAGTTCAGAGTTTTGCTATCTATGCCTGCGAAAGTGGTAGAAAAAAGAAGGAGTAGGAGAGGGATATTGTGGGCATGATCAGTGTTCAGGCTCATTTAAAGAAGTATCAATCTTATAAGTCTGTGGAGTAATAAATATTTAAGGAGTTGGTTAGGTGCCAAGCATTCGTGCTTGCACTGTGTGCTTTGCTTTGATTGAGCACAACCAAGGCTGCAAACATATGACTTGCAAAAACAAACATGAATTTTGTTTTATTTGTCTAAATCCATGGAGAGGTCATAATAATAGTACTTGTGCGGTAGCACCTAGATAAGTCTTATAACAGTGAATAAATTCTAATGAAAGATTAAGTTTATAATTTACAATTTAAAAATTTATTTCTTAATTTTTAACGATTTTTCTACTTAATAATTAAATGCTAATATGAAATCTTTTAGTTTCAACTTGTGTCTATATTATGCATTCATGGGGTTTTGGGGTTTTGGGG